CTCACTAAATCAAATATCTAACCTTTCTTGCACTTTACTGCAAGTAAAATTTACCTTAGAAAAAAGTATTTAAGAAACCCTGAACTTGGGCCCAGCATGGTAGCCTAGTGCCTGAAGTCCTCATCTCGCATGCACGAGGATCCTGTATGGGAGCCAGTTTGTGTCTCAGTGGCCCCGCTTCTGATCTAGCTCCCTGCTTGTGACCTGGGAGGGCAGTTGAGGATGGCCCAAAGCCTTGGGATCCTGCACCCATGTGGGAGACCCAGAAGAGCTCCTGGATCCTGATCAGCTGACCTTCCCATCTGTCTCCTCCTCTCTGTATATCTGGTTTTCCAATACTTTTTTTTTTAAGAAATCCTGAATTTTAGTTAATAATATTCATGTTGAGATGTTTGGGGTGAACTGTACTTAAATTTAGGGGATGGATATTTGAAAAAGTATTGTAAAATATTCATTATGCAATCTAGGTGGTGCATACATATCTTCATTCAAAAATTCTTTCAATTTGCTGTCCTTTTGAAAAAAATGTTCTTTAATTGGAAAGGCAGATGAGATTTTATGGAGAAGAGAGACAGAGCTTCCACCCATTGGTTCCTTCTCCAAATGACTGCAATGGCCAGTGCTGAGCTCATCTGTAGCCAGGAGATTTTTCGGGTCTCCCAAGTGGGTGCAGGGGTCCCAAGGATGTAGGCCATCTTCCACTGCAGGCCACAAACAGGGAGTGGGATGGGGAGTGGAGCAGGCAGGATAGGAACCGGTATCCATATGGGATTCCCAATGATAGCAAGATGAGGATTTAGACACTGAGCCATTGCACTTAGCACAGCTTTCTGTACATTTCAAAACTTTCATAGTATTGGAAAAATAAGCAATGAGTAGTGGGAAAAAAACTAAGTTAACAAAAACCAAATGTATACTGTGATTAGAACAATCAAGAAAGGAAGACCTTCTTGGGGAAAGGAAAAAGTATTTCAGCAGAACTAATGGAAAAAGAAGAAAATACAAAATTCAATTGCTAAAGCAAGCAGAACAAATGAAAAGTATTTTAATTAAGGTGAAAATTTTGAGGTGGCTAATATATTTTAGAGCAAGGAAACTAAACAGTTTCTCTAAGCATTTTAGGACCCTAGTACTGTGGAACATTTTTTCCCCTCACAATTCAGCAATCTGAAAAGCTGTACTTAATACACTCACATATACAGAATTAACAAAAAATCGTTAAGATCTTGCAAGAAAAATTTGCTAATCATGTGAAGGAATTCAGAATCCACAGAACAGTATTAATTTAGAACATTAACTAATAACTTTGTCTGGAAAGGATTTTAATATTTTTTCCAAGTGGCTTGAATCCATCAGAATCCAAACAATTATTTGGGAAAAGAACTTAACACTTTTGCCCACATAAAACTGCCTATGATATTTGAGGTAAGAGAAAATGTTCTATATCAAGATACTTTCCTGAAACTTAACACTGTAGGTAGGATGTGGGGAGACAGGTCATGTTCTGCTTACAAATTGTCAGTTCTTTCATAAATGGAAAAATAAAATGCTCAAAATTTCACATCAAAGGAACCGAAATTGTCCAAGATTTAGAACCGTCTAGATCAAGTGCATGCCACACCTTCTCCAATGGATTAGTTCACCTTCCATGATTTATGTCTGAATTAAACTCTCCATGTCTGCTGTTCACATAACAACGCCATGATTTGTTTGTTTATACTTCCTTTCCAAAGCTAATTAAAAGGTTTTCCCTTGATCAAATCATCCAAGGAAATGAAAGCTGTTTTAAATTCACAACACCTGGGTTTCAAGAGTAAAACAGACTCAATCCTTTCATCTGTTCTTAATCAAGGCAGACAGCTACAATTAGTTTTAAGGATACACAATTGACATAAAAATAAAAATGATTTGATTCTTTTTCCTTAAATTGGAAAAAATTCAATGTTGTATCTTTAGTGTATCAGATTCCTATCATTGACAGGGTGGAGGTAAAGGTTCTCAAATAAACCATAATGCCCGTTTCTCCCTCCTTCCATATTTCTAATGATGCAACTTGGTCAAGACAGGATAGCGTAGGTAACATTAAGGACAACTACAAAGGTAGTAAGTAAGTAAAGAAATATACGATATTTCTGCTACAGGCTTTTAAGTCTTAGAGGTTTGGAATTGCCACAGCACCTACTTTTATCGGGCAGCTGCCCCAACAATCACTGCAGTCTTTTGCTACAGGACAGGTTATCTTCAGCCTTGTCTTCCTTGGGTGAAGACTCACTCCTCAGACCCGGCGCGGTGGTGCAGTGGTTAAGGTCCTTGCCTTGCACGCCCCGGGATCCCATATGGACGCTGGTTCTAATCCTGGCCGCTCCACTTCCCATCCAGCTCCCTGCCTGTGGCCCGGAAAAGCAGCCGAGGACGGTCCAAAGCTTTAGGACCCTACACCCGTGTGGGAGACCTGGAAGAGGCTCCTGGCTTCAGATTGGCATAGCATTGGCCGTTGTGCTCACTTGGGGACTGAATCATCGGACGGAATATCTTCCTCTCTGTCTCTCCTCTCTGTATATCCACCTTTCCAATAAAAATGAAATAAATCTTTTTTTTTAAAGACTCACTCCTCAATTATTTCTTAGAGAAGACATATGAGAACACACAAGCCAAAGAATTTATGACTTAAATAGACCACAAATATAGATTACATTTCATAAATATTAGGTCAATTTAGTATACAAGTTGGCTTCAGGTTTTTAAGAAAATAAAAAGCATCTGATTAAATTACAATAATTGTTAATGGCACTCAGAACAAGGAAGAAACCCACAAGTTTCCAATTGGTAACTAAAGGCAGATGTGCCTATCAAAAGCAGCTGAATTCCAGACTCACATTTTTACTTTTTTTTTTTTTAATTGGAAAGGCAGATATATAGAGGAGCAGATACCGAGAGAAATATCTTTCGCTTGCTGGTTCACTCCCCAAATGGCCGCAACCACCAGAGCTGAGCCGATCCAGGAGCCAGGAGCCTCCTCTGGATCTCCCATGTAGGTGCAGGGTTCCAAACCTTTGGGCCATCCTTGACTGCTTTCCCAGGCCACAAGCAGGAAGCTGGATGAGAAATGGAACAGCCAGGATATGAACCGGTACCCATGGGATCCTGGCAAATGCAAGGTGAGGATCCAGGCACTCTTGCCAGGCCCCAGACTCACATTCTTAAGACAGACTACAACCCTCTTAATAAACTGCCCTTGGAAGCGAATCAGTAAACAAATGACTGTTGAAGATACAGGAAATCACTTGTGACTTACCTACACTTGAGAAATGCTAGCACATTTGAAAAATCTGTGGACAGGGCACAGCCTCATGGTATAAGCCTGACTAAAATCAACATTTACGCAAACCATAATTTAGGGTCTACACAAACTTAAGAATCCAACAAGTTAGAAAAGATGCTAAAACACTAATACACTCAGTTACTTTGTTGCAAACATCAGTGCACTGTCATCTAGTTTTAAGTTTTCTGATGCCAATTTCTAGAGCAAGACTTTACATTGCTAATGTATTCAAAAATTAAGCAATCAGAAGTTTTTTTTTAAAGATTTTTTTTTTTTGTTAAAGTCAGATTTACAAAGAGAGAGAGAGACAGAGAGAGAGAAAGAATCTTCCATCTACTGGTTCATTCCCCCAGTGGATGGAGCCTCTGCAGAGGCTCTAACACCTGGGGGCATATTCGTTATCCACCTGAGATGCAACAGCCAGTCAGTGGCTTTACATGCCACTACACCAGCCCACTAGATCAAGGCTTTTTAATATGGAGCCAGAAACAACTGAATCAATAATGTCTACTTATCTGGGATATCCATCACGTTGCAAAGGGTACATTGAAGATAGGACAACTTCTGGGCAATGGCTTCTGCTTCAGTTTAACGCTCACACACCTCTCACTTCTCAAATGGCTCCTGCTGCCAGTGGTGAAGAATCAGGGATTAAAAATAACAAGCACAGTTAGCCTTTAAATAAACAGGTTTAGGATGGCATTGTGGTTCAGTGGGCCAAGCCAGCCTCTGTGAAGCCAGTAGCCCAAGTGCCAGCTCAAGTCCCAGCTGTTCTATTTCTGACCCAGCTTCCTGTTAATGCACCTGGGAAAGTAAAAGACAGTGCAAGCACTGGGATCTTAACCACTTTGGTGGGAAACTGAACTGAGTTCTAGGTTTCTGGTTTCAGTGAAGCTCAGTCCTGCGTATGGCAGCCACTTGGGGAATGAATTAGTGGACAAAAGATGTCAGTTCTCATTCTCTCTCTCCCTGCTCCCTCCACCAATGCTCCATCGCTCCCTTACTCTAGTCCTCTTTAATTCTGCCTTTCAAATAAATAATTAAAAAAAATAACAAAATGGGTTTTAGGGGGGCAGCCAAAGAACACTTGCTAAACAGCTGTTTGTCAAGTGAAATACTGCAAAACATTTAGGACAAATTGTGCTTCAAAACAGAACTAACTGGAATATGTAACATCTTGTTGGACAGATGAATGGGAAAAGGTAAAGGGGCTGATGACATGTCTCACAAAGACAGACTAGTCAAAGTTAGAGAACAAGTTAAAACTAGCAAGATGAAAAACACTAAGTACAGGACAATGGAAAAGTTGAGATTAATGTTCCATAAATGGATTAACAGATATTTCTGAAAACAAAAATACAATTTTAAAAAGAGCATCCTCAGGAGAAAATAACTAGATACAGCAATATGCATTACAGTGACCTCAGATTGAATGACATTTCAAATAACCCCACAACTACCCCCATCAGCACATGCTATAAATTCACATTCTTTTGCAATCAAAATGCCAGGGGAAAAACATGCTGAAATAATCAAATGTCTGGTATACCCTTTGCAGCCATGAAAAAGTGAAAAAGAAAACCTGACACATTTTGGCAATTTTAAATGCTAGTTTTTATTTACTGCTAACTGTGCAAAGGACACCATTCAATACTGTGCAGTAAAAGTTACATAAATCCAGTATTAAACAATAGCATACGAGATAAATCCAAAGCAGAGCACCAAGTGCCTTTAAAGCTGATTGTCACAGAACACAGTTGAGTCCAAACAAGTCTTAAGAAACCTGAAGAGCACTTTCATTTAATATTGAGCTATCCAGAAGCAAGAGCTACTGGTTTTCTTGTTACCTTTTGTAGAGAAAAGTGAAAGTTATTCCAACTTCACATGGATTAATATGAATGACCTCTAAACCAAGGAAACAACCTGTGTGATTTACTTCTCTTACTAGCCATCATCTAACTTAAAGTCAACAAACCAGCTGACAGGAAAGCAGCTGAATGAAATGAATTGCTCAATATGAGGCTCGTTATTCTGTTGTCTCAATTTCTTCATTCGCAACCCAAAATACTATTACTTAAACTACTATTTTAAACGAAAAAATTTTGAACACAGATACAACAGAAACCATTCTACCCATGTAATCATTGATACACTAACATTAAAGACTTTAAAAAAACAAAAACAGCAAGAAATGGCAGTTCAAGAATACATCATACTGTTGGATCTTACATATTCTGAGGTACATAATGAGGTGAGGAAGGTGAAGCAATATAGCCACCTGGCCCAGGATTTGTAGCACCATGAACTGGAGGAGAACCGACATATGCTGTACCAACTGGATGCCATGGGCTAACACAGGGGTAATCTGGCACAACAGGAAAGCAGGCATCATAACCTGGCAAAGGTGGTTGTCCATAGGGATCTGACATTATTGTATAATAGACTGCTCCATGAGGGATCAATACAGGCTCACCATTTGAGAAAGTATCTGAAATAAAGAATGCATATGGTATATACTTCAGACACAAAAATTCACTGAAACAGATACTCATGGATGTTCTGACAGAAGGAAATTGTATCAACTGTAAGAAAGATCACAGCAATGGCAGCAGGGGAACTTTGCATATAAATATTAGTAACTAAGAGAAAAAAAACCAAAGACAGTAAGAACATTTTTCAAATAAAACATTAAGTGTAAGTATACTATGGTACTTCAAAAGTTAGTAGAAAACTGAATCATATCAAAATCACAATGACATTTCATATCACCTCAGTTTGAATGACTTATCATAAGCTGGTATTACGGTATACTGGGTTAAGCCACCACCTTCAGTCCTGGCACTCCATATGGACACCTGTACAAATCTGAGCTGCTCCATTTCTGATCCAGCCCCTTGCTAATACACCTGAAAAAGCAGTGGGGGATGGCCCAAGTCCTTGTCACCCTTGACTAGCATAGGAGACCTAGAAGAAGATCTGGGCTTCACTTCTTCACCTGAGAAAGCAATATCCATTACAGCCATTTGGGTAGTCAATGAGCAGATACATAAACCTCTTTCTAATTCAGCTCCTCAAATAAATGAAATTCACTTTTTTAAAAAAAATCCACTTCTAAGAATATTCTTTTAAGAAGAATGACATTTAGTCCCTGCCACAAGGCGGGGGCAGAGTCCCAGGCCTTCTCCTGGCCCGGGAACACCTAAAGCCCCTCATGGGTGAGTACCCGTGAGAGATGGCTGGGAGCTGGGGTAAATTTCTAGCTCCGCCCTGCACCCCGCCAGCCAAAAGCTGGCGGCAGGACAGGTCGGGTGGGTCCCAGTCTCAGGGCAAGAGGCGGGCTTAACCCCCCCTCAAGGTGGCACTTGTCGAGGGGCGCTCCTGCCGGACGGAACCCCACCGGGGTCTCGGCCACAGTCCCCGCCACAAGGCGGGGGCAGAGGCCTGGGCTCTGGGCAGCCAGTGCACCAAGTGGTGCCAGGCTCTGCCTGCTGGCCACCCAGCAGCGAGCTTGAGCTCTGGGGTTTTTATGATGTGAAATAGCTGCTTAGGGACACCCATAAATAAGACCAGCATTAGCGTAGGTTAGACACTAATTTCTGGTGATTCCCAGGAACAGGGACATGAAACCTTAATGCAAGTGTGGGACTGAGACCTGAAGGTTTAGACTAAGCAAACCTTAGCCCACAAGCATGATTGGAACACAGGGTGGAGCTCAGGACATGCCCAGCTAGGTTTTGGCTCCAACTGGTCCACATTAACCACAGAGTTGAGCCACAGTGTCTAAGGCAGGGGTCACAACAGGTGGATGGGGCTGCGGTCAGGTCTGGATACAGTTGTCATCTCCCATGGCACAAGTGTGGACTGGAATAAGACGTACCGGGCCAGGCCAGACCGCAACACCTTCTGGTGCTTTGGAGGACCAGGGTAGATGTGGGACAGACTAGGCTAGGTCTCAACCCCAACTGAGCCATATACGAGCTATATGGGGGTGTGGACGAGCCGTGGCTGGGCTGAAACATCCTACAGCAAGAACCAGAATGGGATGAAGGCCAGTTAGGAAAGGCCACTGTTCCTGCTAGGACAGGAGGCGAACTGGCACATGGATCCACTGGTATGCACGAAACCTGGCACTTGGAGGGGTTCTGATGGAGGAGCCCAGGCAACTCCTCTGGCAGGACACAGACCCTGCAGGTCGGCGCAAGAAACATGGAAGGTAACAGCAAAGAGGTCATGGAAAGTGTCCCACTGGCATACATTTGGCATGGTTCGGGGGCAGACCAGGCTGAATCTGTTCACGTCATCCACTGGTAAATCCGAACGCCAGAACAGAGTATGGGTCGAACCAGGTCCGGTCGTGACAAAAGAAATACACAACTTGGAATGCCAAGGTGAGGTAGCCTGAGCTGGATGCAGCCGCAGCGCCCAACCAGCACACACGAGAATCAGGAAGGGAGGAGGCAGAGCTGGCAGGGGAATAAGGGGTGGTTCCCTAGCTGAACAGCTACTTCCACTGAGGAGCATGAGCTGGGTAGGGGGTAGACCAGACCAGGCAGGGCCACAGCACCTGCGCACCTCATGTGAAGCAGATTGGGTGAAAACCAGGCTGGGCTGACTATTCCCACTGGTGCAATCTACAATCAGAGTGGGTGAGGGTTGTTGGGGCTTGGTTGCAGCATCAGCTGGCAGAAGCTGGTACAGGGGGCTAGTCATGTCGAGTTGAACCACAGGGCACAACTGGAGTGGGAGTGACCTGGGAGGGAAATAGTGGGCTCCTCCCTCTTGGGTCATCACCTTCCACAGGAGGGCACGGGAACTAGGACAGGGCCTGGGGTGGCTAGACAGACACCCAACAACATCCGTTAGGGCTGGTTGGATGAGATGGTTGGATGGAATTAGGTCGCAACACCCGTTGGCAAGTATATGAGCAGAAGGGAATGTGGGACAGACTGGACTAGTCTGCCATACATACTGGCAAGCCAGGGTAGGGGGTGGGCCCGGTTGGGGTTACTGTGGGCCGCCCTGACTGGGCTGCAGCTCCTACTGGTTTTTGTGAGGGCCAAGTGTGTCCAGGGCGGAACCAGGCCGGACTGTAACACCCATTGTTTCCAGTGGAGGACATGGATGGAGACAGAACCGACCCAGCAACTGCAACCACCAGCTGATTGGGGCGATGGACTGTGCCGGGTCCTATGCTTGCTAGAACACGCAGGAATCTGGACTGGGAATACCTCAAAATTTCTTTGAGGATCTCCCCAGTTGAGACACCGGACTCAGAGTCCTAACCAAGAAAAGACAGAACAAGTCAACCTCAGCTATCTGTTGGCAGCAAAATACTGGGCAAATGGAGACTCTGGAAGCGACTGTGTCAATCAATGGATTCTTCAACGATCACATCGTGCTTGGAGTGGCGAGACTGGTAGTGATCCATGAATGGTGAACTATTGGAACCACTTGATCGAGTATCTCAGAGCATGCCCCACATCCGGGACTTAGGGTGGGTGGGAAACTAGGTGGGGCTTCTTCCTCTATATCCCCCTTTACCTCAGATACATGAAGGAAGTGGTATGGAAGTGATGGTCTTGCCCATTTCCCTGTAGCCCTTGAACCTTTTTTACCCTAATTAAATATGTAAGGATTGTCAAAATAAAAACATATTAAAAAAAAGAAGAATGGCATTTATCCAAAACAGAGTAAACATTGATGCCATTCTGACCTAGTTATAGTGACTATACGTATTACACACACAAAAAAATCTTTCATTACTTAGGCTAATTGAATTACTTCATTCCACTAACACTGCCACTGCCTCACAGCTTACCACAACTAAAAAGAGCTCTACAAAAGTTGTACAAAGATTCAAGGAAAGTTTACATTTTACTACCATGGGTTGTATCACATCAGCTCACTACGGATAAGATTCTATACTAATAACAAAGAGCATTCCAAAACCATTACTAGGCTCTAAAAAAGGAGGAAAAGGATATTAACATTCCAAATATGTGCCAGGCATAATATATACAGGTCACAATTAGTCCTTGTAAAATAGCTGCTAAGTCAGCTATTTTTCACTTTACAGAAAACCATGTTTAGGGAAATTAAACAACTTAACCATGATCACAGTCATCAAGTAGCAGCAGTGGAATGTAAAACAGATTTGGTTAATTAGTTCACACCATTTGTTCTACCTCCTATTGATTGTTCCCAAAAAGAGGAGTCCAAAGATCCACCCTAAATCTCATCAGAATTATGTTGTAAATGCAATGATGGCAACCATCCTCCACTCTGGCACATAGCAGTTCTGAGATATTTTGGCCTCAGGATCACGTTACATTCTTAAAAATGGAGAACTCCAAGGAGCTTTTATTTATGTGCTTTGTATCAATCAAAATTTAATATACTAAAAATTAAAATGAGAAAGTTAAAACATAAAACAGGAAAATACATAAAAATTATATAGCACAAATCTTTACGAAAAAATAAGTTGATTTTTCCAAGAATTTTTTTAGAAATGAGAAAAATGTCATTTTTTTTATATATGTATGAATTTCCAGTGCATGTCTTAATAGATGACAGCTGGAATTCAAATATACTTCTGTATTCAATCTACTATCTATGTCATTTTGGCTGAAATATATGAAGGAATCTAGCCTCAGAGACATAGCTGAAAAAGAGAAGTTCTTAAATAACAAGGCTTTTCCAATAATTGAAGATATCATTTGATGCTATACCAAAAGTACCAAAGTCATTGTCAATATGGATTTTTCATATCCTGCTATATTAGAATCCACTGTTTTATCTCATATTTTGGTTAGATCCTTTAGAAAACCAAGCAAAGAAAACACAATGCATCGGTAATCAAGAAACTAAAATCACTAAGCTATGCAGATCATACAAATGTTAACATATTTCACTATACATTTTAAGAAACTACTTTCATTGCTACACCAGTTTTATTAACAATATTTTTAATTTATGGGAAGCAGGTTCATGGTGACAGATACAAGTTTTCCAAAATTCTAATTTTTATCTGAAGTTTTCTTTGACAACAAATGCTATTTGCTATTTTTCTAGAAACACAGTCACTAGAAAACCATTTGAGAAAACCATAAGACAGGTCAACTAAGTCTGAATAATCAGTTTGTCTATTATCCTTCAACCAATAAGAACATTCCATGAAATTCAGCTGGTATTACTTAAAACTCAACAGTATAAATACTTTTTCTCAAGTTAATCATCATGCCTCACTCAGTGTGCAGACATGAAATATGAACTCCCATTCTATCACAAAATTATTATACGTAATTATTCAAAGGTAAAGAGTTGGTGAAAATCATAGTATTTTTGATGAAACATTAGAAATAAAACTGGAGTTTCTGTACCATAGTTTGGTGCCAACGCCTCAATCTGTATAGATGCCAACAGTTCTACCCATCACTGACTTTTAAAAAAATTTATTTTGATTGAAAAGATTTACACAGAGAAGGCAAGACAGAAAGATTCTCCATCCCTGGTTCACTCCCCAAACAGCTCCAACAGCCAGAACTAAGGTGCAGGTGCCAAGACCTTGAGCCTCTGTTGCTTTTGCAGGCCATAAGCAGTGAGCTGGATCAGATGTGGAGCAGCTAGGACATGAACTGGTGCCCATGTGAAATACTGGCCATTGTAGGTGCAGTATTAGCCTGTTAAGCCATCGCACTGGCTCCCCATCACCGATTTTTACACCCTCAATGTAAATGTAACATCATGAAAGCAGTGGATAAAATCTTACTGCAGAAGCTTTTGACCTAAAGAATCATTTGAAAGTCTCAGGGATCCCAAGGGACCTACATATCGTACTTTGAGAACAAGTGATACAGAGTATGTACCTAATGAAACATCTGAAGACGATTACTAAATTAGACAAATGATAATCCAATTGTCTTGCTGACAATCTCATTACATACTCACCGTTTGCTGATGCTTCTGCCTGTGTGCCATCTGCTCTCCCTACTTCACTGTATGTGTGAGGAGCACTCTGGTCAATTAGCGGAGGTGGTTCAGGATACACTGGGTAATTCTCTACAGGTAGCTGCTGCATGTGTGGCATATAGACCATGGTGTGCCAGTAGTTGTGGTGATAGCACTTGACAGCAAGAAAAAACAACAAAAAAGTACTGTTCCTTTATATTGTAGTACAATTATACTATATAACTTCCCAATTAAAAAAAATGAGTCATGATTTTCAAGTGTGGTAGCAATGCTTTCAACATAAAAAAGGACATTTAGGAATTTATTGTTTACTACAACTCTGAGATTTCTTTCAGCATCTGTTTTTCATACTTGGAATTCTTTTGGAAAACATCCTATGGAAATTAGAGGTACACACAAATACACATACACAAAGATGACTTTTGTAACATTATTTTTAAAAACAAAAACACTGAACCTTAAGTATTCAGCAACAGAGGACCAGATAATTTAGTCATATATCCACAATAGAAAATTATATAGGAAAAAAACAGCCATCAAATATTTCAAGAAATAGGATACCAAGTTAAAAGATTACAAAAATGTATAGCATATTCCATAGGCAGGAATAAAACAAAGGGCTTATAATGAAATACAAAAGGTACTGTGATTACACAGGTGATTTGATTTTTTAAAATCCAAATGCGCTGCAGTGGGCACTATTGCTTCAAATACATTGAAATACCAAAGTATCTACTCTTGAGTAGGAGTTCAGCCTGGAGGATAAAACACTTGCATCCAACATCAAAGCACCTGGGTACCTGGGCATGATAATCAGCTCCAAACCCTGATTCCAGCTTCTTGCTAATTCAGACCATGAGAAGCAGTGGTGACACAGTTCAAGTACTTGGGTCCCTGCCACTCACGGGGACCTCAACTGAGTTCCTAACTTCCAGCTTCTGCTTAGCCCAGCTCCTGTCATTACGGACATTATGTGAGTCAAGTGGTTGATGGGAGCTTGCATTTGCTTGCACGCATCCTTGCTCTCTGTCTCTGAAACACTTCTTAAAAAAATCTATTCTGCATGTCCTGTGATACTGAAGAGTAGAGAGCATTTTTGAAATCCTTAGTCTTGTGGAACAATGTTTACACATGTAACTAGCAAGCTACCATAACTGAAGGGACAAGTAACTTATCAGTTCTTATAAGCGCATTTAGCAAAAAAAAAGTCTCAAAACTATTCTTCATTTATAACTGTGCACTATTTGGGGAAAGGTTTTCTGGCATGTTGAAAGTTCCTGGGAGGGCCCAGCGGCATGGCCTAATGGTTAAAGTCCTCGCCAAGATCGCACCGCTGGGATCCCATATGGGCGCTGGTTCTAATCCCAGAGGCCCTGCTTCTCATCCAGCTCCCTGCTTGTGGCCCAGGAAAGCATTTGAGAAATGGCCCAAAGCCTTGGGACCCTGCACCCGTCTGGGAGACCTGGAAGAAGTTCCTGGGTCCTGGCTTCGGATTGATTCAGCTCCAGCCATTGCGGTCACTTGGAGAGTGAATCATCAGACTGAAGATACTTTCTGTCTCTCCTCCTCTCTATATATCTGACTTTGCAATAAAAATAAATAAATCTTAAAAAAAGGAAGTTCCTGGGAAATCAGTGTCAAGGTTAAGCATTTCCCAGGAGACTGTAATAGTTAATCAGACAAATCTTTAAAAGACATTATTTCTTCTCAGTAACTATGTTATCTTGCATTATCTGAAGTGGTATTTCAGGAAGAAGACTAAAGATCTCTCACCTAAAATCAAAGACACCTGTAAGTAGTATTAATGCATTTGTCAATATTCATTTCTACAATTCAGGGCAGGGTGAAAACAGCATTTGGAAAATATTCATGAGTATATGAGCACTTCAAAAATAATTTAGCTGATTAAATATTTTTGAGCCAGTCATATTTTATCTGAAATGTATAAATGTCCATAAAAATGCCTTATGTAAGATAAATAACTTCATTCTGTACAGAAAAATAGTACAGGGTTGGTAGGTAATATTAAATGTGAAGGCTAATCTAATATTTGCTAAAGTTGTGCTACTTAGAATCTAGTCCCTACCCTTAAGAGTGAGAGAAACTGTAGCGCTTGGAGGTTAAACTAGAAAACTAACCTAGTTCATATGTTCAGATCTCACAGATAAAACTTCTAGGTTCCTCATACTATTCTTGGATTTTAAAGTTCAAGAGTCTGATAATCAATATAGCTTATATTTTGAGTGTATAGCTTATCAAAGCAATTTTTAACAGGATTCTTACCTGCAAGCCAAGATTGAAATAGTACTGTAGAACTTTTGTATCTAAAATAAAAAAAGTTTAAATTTAGTAATTAGATAGACATAAGCATTTGAAATCTTTTCTCTTTGAGGTATCAATGTAGTAACACTACTCCGATTGTTTCTTCACGGAAATACAACCATTTGCCTGTCATATACATAAGATCAAGCACATATTTTGTTTCTAGTCTTAGTATAGAGTCAACGATAATGCAATTCTACTAACATCTAGGAAAAACTGAGTAAAGGCATTTTCTTACTTGTCTCAACTAAAATTCTACTTTAAAACAACTCTGAAGGGTCCAGCATGATAGCATAGCAGTTAAAGTCCTCGCCTTGAACGCACCAGGATCCCATATGGGCGCGGGTTCTAATCCCAGCAGCTGCACTTCCCATCCAGCTCCCTGCCTGTGGCCTGGGAAAGCAGTTGAGGAGGCCCAGAGCCTTGGGTTCCTGCACCCGCATGGGAGACCCAGAAGAGGCTCCTGGCTCCAGATTAGCTCAGCACCAGCCATTGTAGCCACTTGGGCAGTGAACCATGGGACGGAAGATCTTCCACTCTTTCTCTCCTCCTCTCTGTATATCTGCCTTTCCAATAAAAATAAGTATAAAATCCTAAAAATAAATAAATAAACAAAACAACTCTACAACATAGGCAGGCATTCTGGTCCACAATTACTATAACTATTACATGACACAAATTAATATTCTACTAATGCTGACATTAGTGATGTCTGTTGAGACAACAAAATATGAAACAAATCATCTCTTTTTCTTTACTATGGCTAACATACTATTACTGGAAGAAAAGTAGCATGAACAAAGTTACTCAAAAGAACGTGATTGGTCTGGATGCAAACAGACATACTGGACTCTCAGTGAAACAACTGAAAATATCTTGACAGTAGGATGTTGGACTCTCTCACATTGTCCATATCCACAAGGCGAGGAAACACTTTAAAAACAGCATGATTGGACTTATGATTGCTCATGAGGGACTACCCATTGTAATGTTAGAGGGGAAATCAATGGGAGGGGGCAGAAAACTTGAGAAGGGGACTGGTAGTCCCAGAGCCAATGGAATTGTATCATAAATAAAATAATTTTTGAAATGTGATTGAACTTAAATGAACTAGTTGTAAGGAGAAACTGGAAATTGTCTCAGTATTCCAACTACATCTCTATGTTTTCTGTACTGACTGACCTGAGACACTCATCTTATTGTCTTACCATCACTGTTCTCAAAATCTTAAATAGAAAAATCCATAACAGTATTACTAAGAGATAAAAGATGGAAACAATACCGATGTGAATTAACTGGTAAATGTGATAAATGCATGTAACGGAATATCAGCCATAAAAGAATGAATACATGCTACAACTAAAGGAACCTTGAAAATATCTGCCAGGTGAAATTAACTCATCTCAAAACACCATATATTGCATGATTCCACTTATGTGAAATGTCTAGAATAAGCAAGTCTATAGGGATGCAAACTAGAGTTGAGACTGCTAGGGCCAGAAGGAATATTGACTGCTAAAGGATACAAGATTGTCTTTGAGAAGGTTAACAGAAAAAACAGGAAGAGTGCATGGGTAAAAAATTTGAGCAGTCACCACGCCAATTAAAGATTAGGAGCAGACAACCAGGTGCATAAACATTACATAATTGAAAATATGGCTAGAAAGGAGACTACATCACACTAAATCATAAATGCAATCCTTACTTTCCTCAATTTTATACAAACTGAAGAATCGCTAAAGATTTCTGAAGAGAACAGATACAGAGTGGTCTCAATCACAAAGGTGTTGGGAAGCTACTCTAAATGTTCAGCTGAAGTGATAAAAGGTACCACCTAGGAAGGAGGCAGGGGATTTTTAATAAACCAGTCAAGGTTAACATGCAAAACATTCAATATTATTTTCTATGTTAGCAGATCACAATAAGAAAAGATGTCTTGGTGCCTGACACAATGGCTAAATTCTCACCAAGCGCCAGGACCCCATGTGGGAGCCAATTTGCGTCCCAGCTGCTCCACTTCCCATCCAGCTCCCTGCCTGTGACCTGGGAAAGCAGTCGAGGACGGCCCAAAGCCTTGGGACCTATACCCATGTGGGAGACCACCTGGAAGAAGCTCCTGGCTCTTGGCTCTAGATTAGCTTAGCTCCAGCCATTGTGGCCACTTGGGGAATAAACCAGCAGATGAAGATCTTTCTCTGTACTTCTTTCTCTCTGTAAATCTGCCTTTCGAATAAAAATAAATTTTTTTTTAAGATTTATTTATTTATTGGAAGGTCAAATACATAGAGAGGAGAAGAGACAGAGAGGAAGATCTTCCATCCAATGATTCACTCCCCAAGTGAGCGCAACGGCTGAAGCTGTCCCGATCCGAAGCCAGGATCCAGGAGCCTCTTCCGGGTCTCCCACACGGGTGCAGGGTCCCAAAGCTTTGGGGTGTCCTCAATTGCTTTCCCAGGCCACAAGCAGGGAGCTAGATGGGAAGTGGAGCCGGCGGGATTAGAACCAGCGATCCTGGAGTGTTCAAGGCGAGGACTTTAGCTGCTAGGCCATGCCGCTGGGCCCAATGAAAATAAATCTTAAAAAATTCTATTGACAGAGCATTAAAATTCTGAATACATTTAAGTACATAAAGGATGATTACTACCATCACCACCACCACCGTTACTACTACTACCGCTACTACTACTACTACACACACAGAAAATGGTGAAAATCCAAAGGCAGGCTAAATGAATAGACAGATGATATATGTGCATCTGACAATATGTGTGTAGATTCTAAGAGATAACATTGTTAAAACGGCAATTCTCCCCAAAATATAGATTCAATGCAACCTTAAATTCTTAGAAGGTTTTTTTAAAGAGTTATTTATTTACTTATTTATTGGAAAGTCAGAAATACAGAGAGAAGAGACAAAAAGAAGATCTTCCATCTGTTGATTCACTTCCAAAGTGGCGGCAACAGCCGGAGCAGAACCCAAGCCAGGAGACTGGAGCCTCTTCTGGGTCTCCTACACGTTTACAGGGTTCCATGGTTGTGGGCCATCCTCAACTGCTTTCCCAGGCCACAAGCATGGAGTTGGATGGGAAGTGCGGCTGCCGGGATTAGAACCAGCACCCATATGGGATCCTGGTGTGTTCAAGGTGAGGCCTTTAGCCACTAGGCCATGGCTCTGGGCCCAGATATTTAAAAAAAAACTGGTAAAAAAAAAAAGTACCGGGCCCGGCACGGTGGCGCAAGTGGTTAAAGGTCCTCACCTTGCACACCCGGGATCCCATATAGGTGCCGGTTCTAATCCCGGCAGCCCTGCTTCCCTTCCAGCTCCCTGCCTGTGGCCCAGGAAAGCAGTCGAGGATGGCCCAAAGCTTTGGGAACCTGCGCCCGTGTGGGAGACCCGGAAGAGGCTCCTGGCTTCGGATTGGCATAGTATCGGCCCGTTGCGCTCACTTGGGGAGTGAATCATCGGATGGAAGATCTTCCTCTCTGACTCTCCTCTCTGTATATCCGCCTTTCCAATGAAAAAATAATAAAAATAAATCTTTAAAAAAATAAAAGTACCAACCAAATGAAAATGCAAATGACATAGAAAGCTACAAAATATATAGGTGGTATAAATTACACTACTGAACTTCAAAACTTACTATAAAAAGTGTGATGAGGCTCAAGAATCAAAAAAAATAGATCAATGTAAACAAAAGAGAACTCAGCAATAGATGTGCACTTAAAACAATCATTTCGGGCCTGGCATGGCAGGCTAGTGGCCATGAATGCAAGGCTCGTCAAGGTGGATACAAGACTTGTGGAATCAAAGAGGACCATCTCAAGAAAAGATGCTCAAAGACCAGATGCCCATCTAACTGTGACAAAGATCTTTGTTGGTGGCATTAAAGACACTAAAGATCATCACTTCTGGGACTATTTTGAGCAGTATGAGAGAATCAAAGTGATAAAGATAATGTCTGGTCAAGGCAGTGGTTAGAAGAGGGGTTTTGCTTTTGTGGCCTTTGACAACCCTGACTCTGCGTAAGACTATCCTGCAGTCCCCAGCTGTAGGCAACTGCTTAGATTGCCTTGTACATTGCTGGGAGAAAAGCAGCCAGTCACTGTGTTAACTCCATCAGTGTCCCAGCATAGCTGCCCATGTGGAGAAAGTAAAAAACACTGGGCTGGGACATGACACCATGGCCCCTAGGCATGCTGCACCACTGTGCAATGAGGGTGGGCTGCAGACTGTGCAGGGAAGAAAGTATGGAGACATGTTGAAGCGGGCACCCCAAGAGGTCATTTGACAAGTGAAGAGTGATTTCTGGAGGTATCCACAGACCAGGCCACTGCACTCAAGGGAGCTGAGATGTGGTGTTTTAGAGAGGGATAACCAGAAGGCAAGTCTGGGATAGGCCCAGGCAGCTGCCTATGTGGGAGATCCAGACTAGGCTGAGTAGCATCACCTACTGCCCAATGGTACACGTGAAAGCTGGGGCTGGGGGGACTATGCCTGGCTGGACTATGTTGCTATACCTGCCCGTGAGTGTCAAGGCAGGGGGTGGGACACGTCCTGCTGGGCCACAGCACTCACCAGAACATGAGAGATCTGGATCGGGGGTCAGATTCCATATAGAATTTGTAGGCTCACCTCTGTGGGACTGCAGTATCTGCCAGTTTGTGTGAGAGTTCGGGGTGGTAGTGGTCTGAGCCAGGCTTGATCACAGAACTCAATGATATCTGTGGGAGCCAGGGCTTGGAGAAAGCTGGGGTGGGCTGCAACACCTACTGGAACATGCAAAGATTAGGACAGAGGGCAGACTGAGACAAGCATGGCTGCAGCATCTGCCAACATGTATAAGATCTGGGCCTGGGAGCAGACCAGTTAGGGAAACCTGGGGAACTCCCCTGCCAGACCACAGCTCCTGCTAGAGAACACAAGAGCCAGAGCTGGGGACAGGCCAAGCCATGCAAGGCAAGATTGCAGGACCTGTTGACATGCACAAAAGCCAGAATGGGTAGTCTGACTGGTCTAGGCTACAGCACCCTCTGCAAGTGCTAAGACTTGGTTCAAGTCATATCAAAGTGTGGACTCACCAAACAGGCCTACACCCATCCACCAGTGAGACCTCAGATCTAAGACTTTTAGGTCTAGGGGCAGGTTGGGCCAAGTTAAGCTGCAGCACTCATGGATAAATACAAGAGCAAGATAGGATGTGGGACAGTTCAGGTTAGGACTCAGCACATGCCAGCACATGCAAAAACCAGAGATGGGGGTGAGCTTGATGGGGTTATTGGGGTTTATCCAAACTGGATCAAGGTACCCATTGGTGTGCATGTGGTCGGGGCTATGGTAGATTGGTCTCAGCTAGACAACAGCACCCATCAGTTTACATGAGAAATGGGACTGAGGGCAGAACTGACCAGGCAGTTGCATCTACCATATGCGTGTTGGCTGCTACAGGGGATAGACCAAACCTGACCTTGCACTAGTAGCACTCACAGAGTCAAGACTGAGGTCACCCCAAGCGAGGTTTCTAGGGAACTTCCCAACTATATGTATAGACTCAAACACCAGCCACAAGGAAAACTTTTATGTGATCCAACTTTGTAGTTCATGTATCAGCACTGGGCCCCTCAGTTACTGGTTCATATCCAGATGCACACAGGCAACATGACAGCCAGCTTTCCTAGGCCAGCAGAGAATGCCAAGTGCCTCGTCAGAGGATGGAAAGCAGAACAGGTTGGCCAGCTCTCCTGCCTACGCCACAGAAGACGGAAAGTAGAACAGGTTGGACAACACTCCTGCCCAAGCTTTGTAGCAAGAGTCTGGGTCTATGGATGCACACTGAGGTGGATTTGGTTAGCCCAATAGACCTTGGAAAGATTTTCTAATAAGGCTAACAATGTCTCAGACCTACGAAAGCCACTGAAGGTAACAACCTAAGAACACGCTTCCCCATCTGGCGTCTCTCAAATGACTGCACCCCACCCCCAGATGCTAAGGTTTGAAAGCGGGGAGCAGCCCCCTACCCTATAATGCCCTCCCCCCAGTGGAAACAGAAGAAAAAAAAAAGAAGTGAAACATTTGTCCCGCCCCCTTCCTCCATCCCTTGACCCTCCGCATCCTAATTGCAGACCCACATGGGCTTACATTCTCAACAATGTAAATAATATAAAAATAAAATTAAGAAGAAAAATCATATCGTAGATGGTCCCAACTATAAAGGAAAGAAGGCCCGACTAACAGGAGGTGGCCAATTCTTCAACCACCCCAACAGTAGTTATGTAAACTCTGGTATTGACTGTGGAGGTGGTTTGGGTGGCAATGCCACACTTGGTCATTGAGGAAACTTTAGTGGTCATGGTAGCTTTGGTGGCAGTTGAGGTGATCGTGGTGGTTATGGTGGCAGTGGGGATGATTACATTGCATCTGGTAAGGATGGAAGCAGTTGTGGAGTCATTGGAAGCTACAACGGTTGTGGCAGTTACAACAATCAATTTTCAAATCTGGACTCATTCAGGGAGGACATTTTCAAGGTAGAAGCTGTGACCCCTATGGTGGTGGTGGTAGTGGTGAATATTTTATTAACCACAAAACTAAGGCATGGTGGTTTTAGCAGCACTAATTAAAGCAGTTGTAGAAGGTTCTAATAACCACCAAGGAACAAAACTTAGCAGGAGAGGAGATTCAGTTAAGTAGCAGAGAAGCTACAGGTTACAACAGATTTGTGAACTCAGTGGAGCACAGTAGAGGTAGCAACTAGCTACTACAAAGACAACATGTTTTTTAGACAATACTTGTGTGTGTGGGGGAAAACAAACTTGAGGAACGTAAGGACTATATTTGTGACTAAATGTTATAACAGGTTATAACAGTTTCTGTTCTGTAGAAAATGTAAAGTATTCCAGCAAAGAATTTTAATATAGCTGTTCTTTCTTTCTCTGCACCCATGTAATGGATTGCTAAATTTAGTAGTCTAATCATGACACTGAATAAATGTGTCTTTTTTAAAAAAATGTGCTGCATAAAGTTAAGTCTACGCTGAAGCCATCTTGGTAACTTCCACATAAGTATAAAGTCAGAATTTATCAAGGTGATGCCAAGTTTACAAACCGCTTAGGTAGAGAAGCCACGGTCCTCAAGTACTAACAGTTACTCTTATGTCTCTGAAGATCATAATTAAAATAGCCAACCAAGCAGAGTCACAGGAAAATTTGGTTACCAAAAATGATTGCTGGCACATCCTTTGCAATGTCTAAATTGAATGATAGTACCAGATAAAATTAAAGATGGACTGAAGCTGTGTAACAACCCATTATCATGTGTAATCAGCAAACGATTTAATTCTCAAAAAAAAAAGTCATCTTCACAAGTGGTACTGCTCGAATACTGGATAGCTATCCATAAGCAAAAAACCAATTTTCCTTCCTTCCTTCATTCTCTCTCTCTCTCTTTTTAAGGACATCCCTTGTAACACTGCTTCTCCTATGGTCAAAATTCAGTCAGAATGCTAAATAAAAGACTGCAACCATTTTATACACTTGTGAAAACAATTAAAGAAACAAAACAAAAAAAGCTGACTCCTGTCCTAAAGAAAAATAGTGGAGAAAAGCGAAGTCATTATCAACTACCTACTTGCTGATAATGTAAAAGATATCCTCATCTTCCAACTGCTCCCCTTCTACCTTCCATAGTCACTTTCCTGTAATACTGCTCAAGTCCATTTCTATCTGGCTGCCCATCCAGTCTTCTCAGAGGTGAAGCTAAGAGAAATACACACTAAGATTTTTTTCTAAATCTCAGACCGAAATAATCTTCACCAAGTGTCAAAATCCACTTACCTTGAGGCAGGTCACTGCCACTTGGATCACAGGAATAAGGTGGAGGTGGTGGTGGTGGTGCTAAGGTTGAAGCCTCTCCCAGCTCGAGAGGAGGAATTGGAGGAGGTGGTGGTGGTGCTACTGGTACAGAGGCAGCAGTAGCAGGAGAAATAGGAGAGTGGTATGGATAGGACTGTGAAACAATAACTGAAAAAAAAAAGTACAATGTATAGTGTAATACATTATAAACAGTTTATCTTTTGCTTGTCTTACGTTCTCTACACTGTCATGGAACTCTCAGTGCTTATGGTTTCACTTAAAGACAAACACTTGGAAGGGGGGCCCAATGGTGCAGGATAGCACACTGCGCTGCAGCACAGCAGTTTAATCACCACTTGCAATACTGGTATCTCACACTGGAGAGCTAGTTCAAGTTCTGGCTGGTTCTGGCTTCAATTCAACTTGTTGTTAATGTACCTGGAAAGGTAGAAGACGGCTCAAGTACTCAGATTCCTGCCACCTCTGTGGGAGGACAGGAGTGAGTTTCCATCTCCTGGCTTTGGCCTAGCCCAGAACTGGCTGTTAGATCCTTTGAAGAATAAACCAGCAGAGAGAAGATCTCTCTATACATACAGCACTTCTCTCCAGCCACCATGCCCCCATCCCCACTCTATCACTCCCCCTTTCAAATAATAAAATACTAAAAATTTGGAAGGTTACCTAGCTTAATTCACAATATAAACATAAGGATGTTTTCAGCAATCTGTCACACATACTCAAATCAAAAGATACAGAAGCTAATAAGAAACTAAATTGCACACATTTCATATTTTACTACTTCGTAAGACATTCTACTGATAGCAGTGAAGAAATGGGAAATTTTACATGACTGGCCTATTTCTGAGGAGGTACAGAATCAAAAACAAAATAGGCTATAGTATTTTATCCCTTTGCTATTAATTATGTTAATACAATTTAAAAGCAATACTCAGTATATCACAGTTTTGACTTGAGAAATTAAAATGTAATTACATTTAAATATTAATTTTCTATGATTATAAAGGAGAAACAATGTGGCTCCATCCTAGTTCAAGCACGTATCTGCCTTCTCTCTCACACACACACACAAATATACTAAAATATGCTAGTCAGGTTTGTAACAATTGACAAAAGATGACCGATAGATACAACTCATTAAGTTTAACTAAATCAAATAAGCCTATTTAGAAACTAATGTGCGAAAATTCATCATTGTATGACCTGTGTTATTAGTTTTGCCCTTAAAATAGAAAGTTTAGTATAATCATTCATTAAAGGCTTAAATTCAGAATTTTAGCACAGTGGGTTTAAAACAGGAACAGTCCATACAAGTTTAATTTGTTACTGCAATAATTTAGCAATAAGTAATCCACACTGTTTTCATTCACTGACAAATATTAACAATACTACAATATATCTTTTCTATAGTCACAAGGTAATGGTTATACTATATCCCAGGCTAATCTAAAACTTGGTTATCAATATGGAAAGAAGTCAAGTAGTAAAACTTGCATTAATTAATACAACTCTACTCATTTGTCAAAATTCCTGTAACTCGGTACCCCAAAATGAATTTTTCTGTATATAAACATCATTTTTTTTTTAATTTTCTCAACCGACCACCTGGAGATTTGTTGTGCATTCAGAAATCTACATTTGCAATTTTGGCATAATTTAATTTTTACAATATCGGCAACTGCTCTAAATCTATGACTTTGTTTTCTATAGAACAGCTTATCCAAAGCTCTTATTTTTTTTTAAATTAACACTCATATTAAGTCACATTTAAAAAAAACAAAAAACAAAGCAAATGAAGTAAATTCAACTAGAGTACAATGGAAGAGAATGACTATGATAATTAGGTAAAAAATCCTACTACTAGAGAAACATAGCTAAATAACTTTTCGCAGATCTCAGAGATTCAAAGGGAAAATAATTTGAAGGTTACACTGGTTGAAATCATCTTCCGTATAAAGGCACAGTATGATAATGACTATTTACTACTCTTAGCAAAAAAAAAAAAAATTTTAAGATTTATTTTGTAAATTTAAACCATTATTTTAAAACTAAGAAAAAAGGAAAGAGGGAGGGTGGAGGGAGGGCCAGATGGAGGGAAGGACAAATCAATCTGTTCTTAGAAGTGTATCTGCAAATCACATTAAATTTGTTAAAAACCAATTAAAATTAAATTAAATTTTAAAAGCTTTAAAAAAAAGATTTATTTTTATTGCAAAGTCAGATATACAGAGAGAAGAAGAAACAGAGAGAAAGATCTTCCATCGGATGATTCACTCCCCAATTGACCACGATGCCTGGAGCCGAGCTGATCTGAAGCCAGGAGGCAGGAGCTCTTCCGTGTATCCCACACGGGTGCAGGGTCCCAAGGCTTTGGGCATTCCTCAACTGCTTTCCCAGGCCACAAGCAGGGAGCTGGATGGGAAGTAGGGCCACCAGGACTAGAACCGGTGCCCATATGGGATCCCGGTGTGTTCAAGGCAAGGACTTTGACCGCTAGGCTGGCGCTGGGCCCTCTAAGCAAAAATTTTTACAGTCTCCAGTGACTCTACAGAAACATAAGGATCTCATAGTTAACATGGGCTCTACAGGCTCAAGAGTAACCTTCAAGAGACAGAAACAACATTTTAAAAACACTAGGGGGGGGCCTGGTGCGGTAGCCTAGCAGCTGAAGTCGTCACCTTGGGCGTACCGGGGTAACAATATGGGCGCCAGTTCAGGTCCTGGCAGCCCAGCTTCTCATCCAGCTCCCTGTTTCTGGCCTGGGAAAGCATTTGAGAACAGCCCAAAGCCTTGAGATCCTGCACCCATGTGGGAGACTCGAAGGAGGCTTTGGATTGGCTCAGCACCAGCCATTGTAGCCACTTGGGGAGTGAATCTGTGGACCAAAGATCTTCCTATCTCTCCTCCTCTCTCTATATTTGACTTTCAGATTAAAAATAAATAAATCTGAAAAAAAAACATTATACAAACTTTTCTTAGCCTCTTCACATTTGTATCATCTTTTTTCCAAAATTATAATCCTGGTTCACAAGGTCATAGGATAGTGACAAAATCAAAAGATTCCAGAATCATTCATTTGTTTTAGCTCATATTACATGATCTCAGAATAATTCAAGTACTCGATAAAAGAAAATGATTTGATTACTCAAAGCACTAAAAAAAAAAAATGTCATGACTGTTTTTCATTCTATTTTCTGAAATAGCTATAGCTGCATAACTTCAATATCCAAAAATTAAGGTTTTTTATATAAACTACTTTTTCTCAATTTCTCAGTCCTCATAGCTTGTCTTAATTTTACAGGTAGATTATATATTTAATACTTAAAAATCAGGCCTTACTTGGATATCCCAAACTGCTTTTGTAGTCTAAATCTTCAAGGTCATTCGACAGTACACTGGTGTCCAACACTGCTTTATATAATGGTACAAGTATCTGTTCTGTTCAATACAGTAGCTACTAACTATATATGGCTTTGAGCACCTGGCATGTGGCTAGTGCAACTAAGCAAATAAAGGTTTGCTTTACTGTAATCAAATTTTCACATCCGGTTAGTGATTATTATTGTTTTTTTTAAGAAAGACTTAACAATTACAGAGAGAGAGGGCTCTATCAGCTTCTGGTTAATCCTCAAAGGCTGTAATGGCCAGAGCTGTGCTGGTCTAAAGCTCAGGGCCAGGAGCTATTTTCAGGTCTCCCACATGGATGCAGGGTCCTCTTCTGCCTTTGCAGGCCATAAGCAAGAAGCTGGATCACAAGTGGAGCAACCACAACTCGAACCAGAGCCCATATGGGATGTTGGTGCTGCAAGCAGATTAACAAGCCACAACACACTGCAGTGCCCACCCCCACAGTAATTGTATTGACAGTACAGACCTATTATTTTCTTCAGGAAGCACTCTCCAGAACCACATCCTGATTGTGATGCACTGTTGTTCCTTGTGCTTAAAAATAAGTTGGGCTGACTATACATTCATTGGTTGACAAATTCTTTCCCTGAGTATCCTGTTATTCCACTGACCTCTAGCAGAAAGCATTGCTGTCAATATCTGATTACTATCATCTCATTTCCCTTAAATTCTACAGGTTGTTATTTAGATATGGAACAGACCTTCTTTTTCATTATAGCACAGTAGTTTTACCAGAATATCCCATGGCTGATTATTTTGGGTCAATTTTCTCAGTTATTTTGAGAAATTTCAATGCATACTTTTAAAGTTTTTAAAAATGTGTCATATTTTTTCCTTTTAAAAATGTATTTGAAAGCCATTGTTACAGAGGGATAGAGAAAGAGAAACAGACACACAGAAAGTGATAAATCTTCCATTTGCTGACCCACTCCTCATGGGGCTACAAAGACCAAGGCTGGGCCAGGCTGAAGCCTGAAGCCAGGAGTCTCGTCTAAGTCTCCCACACGAGAAGCAGAGGACCAAATACTTGGACTTCCTTTTGCTCCTTTTCCCAGGCACATTATCAGGGAGTTGGATCAGAGGTAGAGCAGCTGGGACATGAACTAGAGTCCATGTAGTATGCCACCATTACACCATTACCAGCTATACTACAACACTGGCCTCAAGTTTTCAAAATTACAGATTTCGGGGCCTGACGTGATAGTGTAGTGGTTAAAGTCCTTGCCTTGAATGTGTTGGGATCCCATATGGTCACTGCTTCAATCCTGGTGGCCCTGCTTCCCATCCAGCTCCCTGCTTGTGGCCTGGGAAAGCAGTTAAGGATGGCCCAAAGCCTTGGAACCATGCACCCACATGGGAGACCAGAAGAGCTCCTGGCTTCGGATTGGCGAAACACTGGCAGTGAATCATCGGACGGAAGATCTTCCTCTCTTTCTCTGTATCTCCTCCTCTCTGTATATCTGCCTTCCCAATAAAACTAAATCTTAAAAAAAATAATAAAATTAAAAAAAAACCAAAATTACAAGTTTCAAAATTTGTTTTATTTTCTTATTCATTGAGAAACTATCAAGGATTAACAGCTTTTGTCTAGCTTGAATGTCATTTGACAATCTTCTATTTTTAGTTTTAGATTTTTCCTTTCTTATGTTCTTATCCATTTTAAAGTTTTAAAACATTATCTGCTATACGCATTTGTTAAAGCTTGCTATATTTTAGTCTTCATTATAGAAGTGATCTACTTCCCTAATTCTTCAACAAAATTAACAACTCAAAACTCATAAAACGAAGACTGTAATCTAGAATTACCAAGTTCTAGACCTTATAGTCTTGATCAGATTCACAGGAGAATGATTTACTACACAGGAATTTTATAGTAAATGTTTCAGGAATTTATAACTTGAGAAGCATTTCTGTTAGTTTTTGCATAATAAAACAACTCAAAGTCTGAGAAACTGGTACAAGTCCTTTAACTATTCAATGGGTAACAAAGTAAGTATAAATGTTATTAAAATTTTTTGCCACATTTGCAAGAATAAAAAACCTTAAACATTGACTCTCACATCTCAAGGATTCCTCAATGACAAAACAAACTTAAATTTTGACAGTTATCTATTCATTGTAATAGACTGTAATACTTGTGGGAACACATTCTTAAATAGGAAAAGAAGTTTCCAAAGTAAGCAACTGTTGATAACCTACCTGGTATACCTCGTGCGGGTGTAGACATACATAGAGGAGGTAGAGTATTCTGTGTGGAAATTGAAGCGGAACTGGTAGTTTGATCAGCTGCCGTACAGTTAGGTAAGACTGGAGGTGGAACATTATTGGCACAGGAAGCTGCAAGTACCGGAGAACTTCCCATCACCTGTAAGTGCATAAAAAGTTCAGGACTCATAATTTTCGTTTCTCAAGGAGATAGCTTCTCATCTAATACTAAATTTAAGTAAAGACAATGTTTGTTTGGTAACTGAAACACTAAGATGCCTATCTTTACATAAACCCTATGTAGGAAGTTTATTCAAAGATCCTGGCTTACTTTGAAAGTTTCAACATATTTTATTTATATGAAAGGGAGAGATGATATGATATGATATGATATGATATGATATGATATGATATGATATGATATGATATGATATGATATTATCAAACAGAGTATCTACTGTTTCACTCCCCAAATGAACATAATGGCTGGGGCTGGGCTAGGCCAGGCAGAATGGAGGAGCTTCATCTAGGTCACCCACATTGGTTCAGAAGCCAAGCACCTGGACCGTTTTCAGCTACTTTCACAGGTGCATTAGCAGGGAGACAGATCAGAAGTATAGCAGCCAGAACTCGACTCGATGCCTGTATGAGATGCCAGTATTGCAGACAGTGACTTAACCTGATATGCCACAACACTGTCCCAGAAGTGTAACTTTTAAAGCTGTTATCTTTCTGAAAATGTTAATAAGATTCAAAAATTAAGTATCAAATTGCATACAATGAAGTTTCCATCTAGCCTGGCTGCCATTTGCCTACTTATCTTTTCCTCAAATAGGTAACCTGTAAATTTTCTAATGTTATTCCGGAGATTTAATACACATTTAGTTTCTCATTCGAGGCCAAGTGCAGTGCTCAATTGGCTAATCTTCCCCCCTTCAAGAACTGGGATCCCATATGTGTGCCGATTTGCATTCTGGCTACTCCACTTTCCAGCCAGCTCCCTGCTTAATGGCCTGGGAAAGTAGTGGAAGACGGCCCAAAGCCTTGGGACCCTGTAACTACTTGGAGACCCAGAAGAAGCTCCTGGCTCTTGGCTTTGGATCTGATCAGATCTGGCTGTTGTGGCCATTTGGGGAGTGAACCAGTGGATGGAAGCTCTTTCGCTCTGTCTCTATTCTGAGATTACAATTTTTTTCGTCTGCTTATGCCACAACTCTGTAACACACTTCCCCTCAGCACCCAGTACGAGTTTTGCAGATATTAAGTGGCAAGACTTTTCTTGAGCATCCTGTCTTCACAGGTAATTCCATTTCCTTATCATCCATAGAAGTGAGGATAATACCCTCTCTGGTCCTCTAAGACTGCATTCAAAATCACGTGTAATCTCCGTGGCAACAAATCTTCATAAAGCTATTAATCCTGATGTCACCTGATCCCTTAGCAGCAAAGGAAGCTTCTTGAAATATTCCCTTACTGGGGTTTCCACATTAATATACTCTCCTACTTCTCTTCCTTCTTGACTGTTACTTTTCTATCAAATTTGCAAAAGTGAATGATTCACAGGCTCTGTTCTAAATGCTTTTCTCGGGCCCGGCACAATGGCCTAGCAGCTAAAGTCCTCACCCTGAACGCCCCGGGATCCCATATGGGTGCCGGTTCTAATCCTGGCAGCTCCACTTCCCATCCAGCTCCCTGCTTGTGGCCTGGGAAAGCAGTTGAGGATGGCCCAAAGCTTTGGGACCCTGCACCCGCGTGGGAGACCCGGAAGAAGTTCCTGGGTCCTGGCTTTGGATCGGCATAGCGTTGAGCACTGCGCTCACTTGGGGAGTGAATCATCAGATGGAAGATATTCCTGTCTCTCCTCCTCTCTGTATATCTGACTTTCCAATAAATAAATAAATCTTAAAAAAAATAAATAAATGCTTTTCTCAATCTCTTATGATTCCCAAGAAGAGTAGTTACGCCTAGGTCTTCAGGTACTTTTTCCATGCCAACTTCCTATTCTTATGGGGAAGCTTTAAATTTGTTTCAATAAGACAGTTTGGTCATTTACATTAACTCACTCATCACAGAAGAGGTGCACAGTAAACTATGAGTAGTTTAATGACAACACATGGAACAGTGTCTGGGACACAGATTTTCAATCAATTCTATTGAATTGATTTACATAATCACTGTGTCATCTATCATAAGGTATAACGCTACTTAAAAGAATACGATCAGCTGTTTTTATGATAGATATAAAAGAAAATTCATTTTCATTCAGACCTTTTGTTATTTGATAACAGTATACAATTACCTTCTGGGGGTAGCTGTATGAAGTAACTACATCCTGAGGCACAGAACATGGTCTTCTGTCCTGAAGAGACTTTAAGAAACACAGAAAGCAGTGTTTGCATCCTTCTACATCGGCCTTAGATAAGATGCAGTCAATCAGCTAGCCCACCTCTGTCCCAAGCTACATTAGACAGAATGTATTCCATTAAAAAAACTACTACTACTAGTTCTACTTCAAAAACAAGAAAGGGCATCTAGAAACTATTTAAATTTCAGTTACATTTTCAAATCTGCCTTGGGACTAAACACATGTGATCAGAATCTTTAGGTAGGTTATAGAATGACTCCACAGATCAATTTTATTTATTTGGTGTTTCTCTAACAGATTATGAATGTGCAGCTCTTAGGAGAAGTGGTTTATAAAACCCAATTGTAATATTTATTGTGTTTTGATAACTGTTGGAAAATTTAGCAAAAATATGAGAATACTTCAGAAAGAAGAAAAGCAACTTCAAGGAGGCTATTTTGGTCTTAAAAATCAGATTCACATATACTTTTCCATAATATTGACTTTCTATTAAAGTTTTTTTTTAAGATTTATCTATTGATATTGGAAAGGTAGACTTACAGAGAGGAGAGACAAAGAGATGCTATTTCACTCCCCAAGTGGCTGAAATGGTCGGAGCTGAGCTGATCAGAAGCCAGGAACCAAGAACCTCCTTCAGTTCTCCCACATGGGTGTAGGGTTCCAAGGCTTTGAGTCGTCCTATGCTGTTTTCCCAGGCAACAAGCAGGGAGTTGGATGGGAAGTGGAACAGGTGGGATCAAAATCAGCGCCCTCAAGGAATCCTAATGCGTGCAAGGAGATGATTTAGTCACTAGGCTATCACGCCAGGCACTCTATGAAAATTTTGAAGACATGTAATAAAGAATTACCAACTATAGGCCAGAAATTAAAGCAAATAGTCCTTGCATGTAGGAACATAAGAAGGATTGAAGAAACAACTGCTGGGCCTGGCGTGGTAGCCTAGTGGCTGAAGTCCTCACCTTGTAAGTGTCGGGATCCCATATGGGCGCCGGTTCTAATCCCGGCAGCTCCACTTCCCATCCAGCTCCCTGCCTGTGGCCTGGGAAAGCAGTTGAGGATGGCCCAAGGCCTTGGGCCTTGCATCCTTGCACCCATGTGGGAGACCTGGAAGAAGTTCCTGGATCCTGGCTTTGGACTGGCGCAGCACTGGCCATTGTGGCCACTTGGGGAGTGAATCATCGGATGGAAGATCTTCCTCTCTGTCTCTCCTCCTCTCTGTATATCTGACTTTGCAATAAAAATAAATCTCTCAAAAAAAAAAAAAGCAACAACTGCTACAATCCTAAACTGTGAAAGATAAAATTATTATAAGTGAATTTCTCAGTAAAAGAATATATGTGCCAGTACTGAAAACCTTTTAAACAGGATAAAAGCAATCCTTGAATCCACACAGTTACAACCAACTAATGTCTGACTAACGAGCTAAAATCAATCCCTAAAGAAAGGACAATCTCTTCAACAAAAGATTCTGGAAAAATTAGATATCTGAATGCAGAAATATGGAACAAGCTCCTGATATGACATCCTATTAAAAAATCAACTCAAAATTGAGTAGGACATGCATTTATGACCTGAAACCATCAATTTAGCACAGGAAAGCATCAAAGGAAATGCTGTAAGACATAGGCTTAGGCAGACGTTTTGGAAAAGACCCCAGAAACACAGAAAAGCAAAACAAAAATAAACAATTGGGAACACATCAAGCTAAGAAACTTCTGCACAGTAAAACAACAAAGTGAAGAGCCAATAGAAAGAATGGGCAAACGACATAAGCAGGCTGTTTTCAAAGGATGAAATTCAAGTGGCCAACAGACACAGGAATAAATGCTCAGGATTACTAGGCATCAGGGAAATGCAAATAAAAACCACAATAAGATTCTGAAACTGTGTCACATAATGCAATGTAATCAATTAAAAAAAAAAACCACAATGAGAATCCACTTCATCCAATTTTCCAAGTATCAAAAAACAATGAATACCTCGTAACAATATGAGGCAAAAAATACTCCAATACGCTATGGGTTTAAATGTATACTAATATAACCATTATGGAAGTCAATATGACGATTCTACAGAAATCTGAAATTAGATTTACCATGTGACTCCCACTCTTAGGAAATGACCCAAACTAAATGAAATCAGCATATGAAAGAGTTATTTTGACCATCATATTTACTGCAGGTCAACTAACAAAAGGCAAATTAGGGAATCAACCATCAACTGATCACTGGATAAATATATAAAGAATACTACTTATCCATAAAGAATGAAATCTTGTATTCTGCAAGTAAATGGATGTAATTGGAAATGATTATGCTTAGTAAAATAAGCCAGTCCTCAAAATACAAATAGCATGTTTTCACCTATATGTAGTAAGTATATGTGATAAAAACATATATAGGTATGAAATGGACAACCTGTGATTTGATTGTTGTTTGTAGCCCTTGTTTATACTCCTATGGAACTGTCATGTTTCTAGTTCCTACTTTTTGAATATTATGACTAATGGTGCATTAAGCCTGTGATTATGGAGTAGACTGAAATTTTGTTTTTGAAAGAAAGGAGAGTATTGAAATAACCAAGAGACCCTAAAAAGAACAAACCAAAGAACAGTTCCCCATGACCAAGCTGGGGTTCTTCATATTGTCTGCCCAAGATTTCAGAATTGCTATGGGACAATAATTAATGGTTTTACCAATTCACTCTTTCCAGGAATTTATTTAAATTTTCATCCCCTGCTCTATAATTGTAGCTTGAATATGAGTGGGCATGGTTAAATCTTCCATCTTGCTTTAGGCATCACAACCAAGAGGTGTCACACCTGGACCCAATATAGAGAATTTAACACATTACCCAGAAATCCTTGGCTTTGAGTTTGAGTACACTGAACTGTACTTGTAGGTTTATCTCTTCTGGGGTCAACAGGAAATATTTTTTTTGTGGAAGGGAGGTCAAGTTGGATATTGTAATCCTTACCACTGTCAACATTTTGCCTTTCAAGCACAAGGAAACAGGACTTATCAGTTGAATCTGCTCTGGTCAACACAATGAAAACAAGTGCTGTGTGTCACTTCTGTTAGAAGCTCTTCTAGGACTCAACGCACCATTTATCAGTTTTTATTTCCCCTCTTGGCAATCAGAGTGGAGCGTCTATCGTTATGTGTCCCTTAGTGCTTTATAAACCTGTGTTGGATATGTAACAGAACCAAGAAGCACACTGTTGCTGTATTAAATGATTGAGACTTATGTTCCATTTTAACTCATTCAAAAATCAAATACAATCTCCTAAAGACCATCACTACTATGTTAAAATTTTCTCTTATACTAACAACACACATTAGGAATACTCCAGAATAGATCAATTTCAGAAATGCAGTATGATCTCGGATAAGTTATTTAACTTCTGCTTCAATTCACCTAAGAAGTGATAATAATCCTTAACTGCCCTACACATTTGATTTGAATACATTTTTATGTATATTTCCTAGAACAGTGCACTAGTACATAGTAAGAACCACAAGAATTCGCTATTATTAATACCTACCAAGTTTGCTGTAGATGCAGTTGTGCTGTAAACACCTGAAGTTTCATAGTCTGGTTCTAGAAGACAATACTCAAAGTAAAATACAAGCATTATTTTATAACTTGAAATTCAATAAACAATGAATCTCAGATTATATCTACATCTCACTGACCTGAAGGATAAAGATATTCTTCATGATAATCCCCTAGAAAAAAAAAGACAGTAGCATATTTACAAAGATTTTCTTAGTTTCAGAGAACCAAATGTCTAGCACTTACTTTTCCTGTTTTTTTGTTTGTTTGTTTGGTTTTTTTTAGATTTATTTCATTTTTATTGGAAAGGTGGATATACAGAGAGGAGAGACAGAGAAGAAAATCTTCCGTCCGATGATTCACTCCCCAAGTGAGCGCAACGGCCAATGCTATGCCGATCCGAAGCCAGGAGCCTCTTCCGGATCTTCCACATGGGTGCAGGGTCCCAAAGCTTTGGGCCATCCTCAACTGCTTTCCCAGGCCACAGGCAGGGAGCTGGATGGGAAGCGGGGCTGCTGGGATTAGAACCGGCGCCCATATGGGATCTCGGGCAAGCAAGGCAAGGACCTTAACCACTTGCACCACCGCGCCGGGCCCACTTTTCCTGGTTTTTACTCACCTGTTTTTTTCCCTTAAGCTTCATAGCTGTATGTTCAAAACTAAAATGCATACAACCTTAGAAATCATTTCAGCTTTCATGTTAGCTGATACTGAAGCAAAAGATTAGCTATAAACAATACAAATTCTCCTGAAAACGCTCCCTCCTTTTCTAAAGAGAAAATTTTATTTTATATTGTACAATTTTTCAGGAATAACAAAATGCCCTTAAGAGTTCCAGCAAAGTGAATAATCTAGCTGTGTTCAACTTTTCCCAGTGAGGCAGTGCAGTGTGACAGCACACAAGGCCTGGAGCTGGGATTGCCTAGATTTGAATCTTGATTAGCTACATTAGGTAAGTTATGTCATCTTTGGGCCTCAGTTTCTTCACTGTAAAATGGGTAAAAGCACGTAGCTCATATTGGGTTTTGAGGATAAAGCAAAAAATATTTAGAATTTATTTAACGTAATACACTCAAATGGTGATTATAACCTGAGTATAACTCAGTTTCCTGAGGTAGACAATAAAGTGATATGGGATGCCTCATATGTTCTATGCCTGTTTTATATCAATAATATAGCTTCAGTATAATTTTTCCTGAAAGGAAGGCTCAGTATAATGAAGGACCTGGCTATAAGGTTAATGCACTGCTGAAACGAAGAAGTCAATGTTCAACTGGACAGTTTTCCACTACATAAAACTTTACCAGTCTGAACTGAATCTGACTCTTTAGTATAGCACTTATCAGCCACATTTTCAGTCAGCTTCTTTAGACAGCAGCACTGAAGGTGAGAACAGAGATCTGGTTATATTAACTGTGGCACTATGGGCAAGCAGTTTATTTGATGTTACCCAAAGGGCTAAAAAGAGAAGACAGGAAGCATCCTTAAGAACATGCATGCATGGGCCCAGCGGCATGGTCTAGCAGCTAAAGTTCTCGCCTTGAACGCCCCGGCATCCCATAAGGGTGCTGGTTCTAATCCCAGCAGCTCCACTTCCCATCCAGCTTCCTGCTTGTGGCCTGGGAAAGCAGTTGAGGATGGCCCAAAGCTTTGGGACCCTGCACCCGTGTGGGATACCCGGAAGAAGTTCCTGGGTCCTGGCTCCAGATCGGCATAGCATCAGCTGTTGCACTCACTTGGGGAGTGAATCATCGGACGGAAGATCTTCCTCTCTGTATATCTGACTTTCCAATAAATAAATAAATCTTAAAAAAAAAAAAAGAACATGCATGCAGTTTGACACTGTACCACAAATGTCAGCACACACTTAAATAACAGACTAATGGAATTATAACTCCTCATAAAGGACTACACTAATATAACATGGGGAAAATCAATCAGGGGTGGGAATTTGTGTGTGTGTGTGGGGGGGGAAATCCCAGACCCTATATAACTGTACCAAAAATCTATTACACAAACAAATAAATATTTGCATTAAAAAAGAACATGCATGCACACAATTACATTTTCACAAATCAACCTTGTGCTATATTTTTTGCTCCTCAAATTGGTAGAAATATATACTGCATTTTCTTCTACTTAATATAAGAGAAGTCAAGTTGTACAAAATATCTCAGGTCACCTAATCTGAACTGTTCTGCCATATTATCATTTACTAGTAAGATGGAAAAAAATAAACATATCCATGATGGGAAAGCAATATAACATCTGTTGCGGGCATACATGTATGCATACATAGTATCTAGAGTCAGATACACACGAGTCCAAGATCCATCTCTGTCCTCACATAGGGTCAATGCTATTTTAAAAAGTTGTAGAAAACAAATTCAAACAATGCATATTTTACATAAACTTTATGAAGACTCTTATATTACAAAGACCAGAACAGGTAAATCCCTAGACATAAAGAGAACATTGTTACCAATGACTGGCCACAGGGTGGTTACTAAATATGGGAAATAGGTGCAAATGGGTACTAAATTGATTTCTAGAGTGACAAAAATGCTCTAATACTAACTATGATGGTTATGCGATTCTGAATGTAATAAAAATCATTGAATTATACACTTTAAAGAGGTAAAGTTATATACTAACAAAACTGTTACATAAATATTACATATCTGCCATTTATCAACATTATGACCTTGAACATGTCATTTGAATTTCATGTCTCCTCACAGACAAAACAGGAATAACATACCCCTGAGGATATTACAGGAAAAACTATATTAAAGTTATAAACACAATTACTTTAGGATTCAACAAATAGCAGTGTTTACAGGTCCACTAAACTTCTTTGGGTGAAAAGACATTCTAAAACAGTCTTGCAAAATAAAAGGTAGCCATATGAAAAGGCCAAAGTAATTAAACAAATGCTAAGGAGAATTATTTAAAAATGTCTTATCTATTAAGGATATATTTTTATACTACTATCTTATCAAGTAAAAATCATTAAGACCTATGCTAATGCACTCACCATTGAGAGCTGGACTGGGGTCAGAATAGGTTGAACCGGGCTATAGCACATGTTGGTAAATGCCCAGACTGAGGGATGTGCCATCTCAGACTTGGCTGCAGCACTTGTTGCAAAGGACAAGAACTGAGGCCTGAAGTGAGCCTGATAGGGTAACCTCAGAGACTCCCCTGCTGGGCCACTGCTTCCACTAGTAAACGTGTGAGCTGAAAGTGGGGAGGTTGGCCAGGCCAGGCAGCACAGCACCAGCTGACACAAATGAAAGCCAGAACGCGTGTAGGCCAGCAGGCTAGGAGCAGCACTAGCTGGAAAGAGCAAGGACTGGGTTCAAGTCATGTCAGCCTGGACCACAGTATCACCTGGCAGGCACAAGATCCAAGACTGGGAATGGACTCAGTAAGGAAACTGTGGGCACTCTCCCGCTGTGCTATAGCTCCTGCTGGTGTACAGGAGAGCCAGGGCTCGGGATAGGTCAGGCTAGTTAAGGCAGCAGCACCCATCAGCATATGTGCAGGCCGGGGTTAGTGGGGTATAAGGCTGAGCTAAACTGCAATACCCATGGCTGTGCACACAGTTAGATGAGATGCCGGATGGTCGGGGCTAGGCTGCAGCACATTCTGGCACACATAAAAACCAGGGCTGAGGATGGGACTGGTAGGAGGTTATTAGAGGATCGACTGACTAGGTCAGAGCACCTGCGGTGTGTATGAAGATCATGTCTGTAGTGGGCTGGACTGGGCTAAACTGCAGCAACTATCAATTCATGTGAGATGGGAATTTGGGTGAACTGACCAGGCAGCTGCATCCACCAGTATGTGTGCTGGCTGGTGCAGGTGACAGACCAAACCTAACCCTGCACTAGCTGGTGCTCACAGGAGTCAAGTCTGAGGTTACCCTAAGTGAGGTTTCTGGGGAACTTCCCACTTAGATGGCTGGATTGAAATCCTGGCCACAGGGAAAATCACGATACATGGTCCAACCTTGAGGGCATGTATCAAGACTGGGTCTCCTCAGTTGCTGATGCTGGACGGTAAATAGCATGCCCAGATGCAGAGTACGTGACAGCTGCTAGGCTGGTAAAAACAGGATGCTGACCTGTGGAAGGATATTGTGACCTAGAAGGTCAAGGAGCACAGCATTACAACTGATAGGATAACATTTGTATGAGAACAACTGAATGTGTACCATTCGTATAACTAAATGTATAACTAAATGGATGAGAACTGAGTGGATAGCATGTGAATGAGAACACTTGGTGAGATATACAAAAGAGAAGAGTTCCAAACAAGGGTATAGAAACAACTGATGGATTCTGTAGAGAAGCTCAATACCTCCTCTCTTTTCCTATGTGACCCTTGGTCTATAAAAACCTGATGCCAGGGCCCGACGCTGTGGCCTAGCGGCTAAAGTCCTCACCTTGAATGTGTTGGGATCCCATATAGGCGTCGATTCTAATCCCAGTAGCTCCACTTCCCATCCAGCTCCCTGCCTGTGGCCTGGGAAAGCAGTGGAGGATGGCCCAAGGTCTTGGGACCCTGCACCCGTGTGGGATACCCGGAAGAGGTTCCAGGTTCCCGGCTTCAGATCGGCACAGCACGGGCCGTTGTGCTCACTTGGGGAGTGAATCATCAGACGGAAGATATTCCTCTCTGTCTCTCCTCCTCTCTGTATATCTGACTTTGTAATAAAATAAATAAATCTTTTGAAAAACATCTGATGCCAACAATAAACCTCGGCTATTGATCATCAGTCAGAGTCCAGGCGTATTACTATAGGCTCCATGCAACAAGTCCATCGCTGCAGCACAGCGAACACTGGCCTGAGGCAAAGTGAGAATAATCCATGATGGATCATGCAGGCCTTATTTCCTTAAGAAGGTCTGGAATGCCCTACAGGATCCACCCAGACTTTGTCTCAACCCACCATCATGAGTACCCTGCGCTACAGATCATTCCTCATATGTGCAAACCCAGGAGTTACAGCCTTCTCCCATCCCCTGCGCCTAAGATGTATAAAGCCCCAGTGCTGTTCACCCTGGATGGCCATTTCCCTCATACGTCATCCCGCCATGCGGAAGTGGTCCTGAGTCATCTCCCGCCAGGGAGACTCATTCTCCTAATAAAATCCTTCGCCTGAATT